CATCCTTTCCTGCCAATGGCAGGGGATCAGACTTGATGATCTGCTCCGGTCCCTTCAGACCCTACCTTCTGTGAAACTATGAAACATTCATTTACCGGTTCCTCCAGTGCCATGCACACACCAAAATCAGAATCAGAGTAGTGAAGATCATCACCAACACTGGAACCAGAACTGCTGCCAATGCAACATCTGAAATGCATTAAGCAAAAGTGGTGTAAAAGAGAGCAATTTATTATGCATCAAGTGTTATTTTGCAAGTTCTTTGGGGAACGTGTAATTTTCTATCTGTATGGTACTTGGCACCCGGGGATTTTGTTGGCCTATGGGTGCTCCCACAGAGTAAATATCAAATTGGTTGTATGTAGATATGTGGGGATGCTGCTCCAATACACTGTAATTATAGTGCATCAGAGCATACTCAATTAATCAAGTCTGATGGAGTGTGCTAATTAGTGCGCTCCAGCAGCATCCGTGTCTCATGTATCCAGTGTCCTCATGCTTCAAAATGGTGGCAGGAGAGCTTTAACTAAAGCTTGTCAAACAAGCTTTAGTTAAAGCACACCCGCCGCCATTTTGAAGCCTGAGACGCTGAATACATGAGACACTGTGGGAACTTTAATTAGAACAGCTCTTGGAACCATGCTAATTAAAGCACCCCCAGCCATGGAGCACATGGAAAGATGCCAATAGTGACTAATCTAGCACTCAGAAATTCTTTCATATATTCTTTCACGCACATATGCATGCATGCACAAGTAGGAATTTTTCCCAAGTTGCCAAATATGAGTCAGAAACTTGAAAAAACAAACAAACAAGCAAAAAACCCAGAATGAAATATGGCTGAATATCAACCTAATAAAAACTGAACAGCATAGGAATAGGTATCTGCATAGGTCTGAACTTCCCACAATACAAGTCATACCTTTAAATCAGTTATGTTAGGCACTTGTTTATGATTATTTGGCATATGTCTACCCTCTATCAATGTTTGAACTTATACTACTGCTGACTTTGATACTATTTTTTTTTTTATTAAATCAAAGTTGTTAGCCCAGGTTACATTTTCTCGCCAAGCTTCAAGCCGGCATGACTGCTTCATGGAAGAAATTAATGTTAAAAAGTTTCAAAAGATCAGTTTGACACATGTACAAATGGTCAAAACTCAGTAAGAGATTGATTACTTTTTGATGAACCCTGATTGGGAGTTCAAATTTGAGATTTCTTATAACAAGAACCAGTAGCACATAATTAAAAGGGTGCATCTAATTTCAGGATTCTATGTCTTGAAATTTATAACTGCAGAAGAAACTGAATTTGCATGCACTTATTTAATTGCTAAAGGTAAGTATACATGAGCATGGATTATATGCATCTCAAATGCAGTAATAAATATTTAAAAGAAAGAAATGAGTTTGTAGAATTTTAGTGTTTAAATTGGAGAACAAATATTCACAGTACCAAAAATGGAGAAAGTACATGCAAATTAATGCCTTTTAAATAAACTATGTTAACTAAGTCATATGCTATCAGAGTTCTAAAACACTGCTACTGCAGCTGTTTGAATGCTGGTACCTTTGGTTACACTTGGAGTCACAGTGGTGTTTTTGATTTCAGGAATGAAGGTTGTTTTATCAGTCTGCAGAGAAAAGTCATTGCTGGTCTGTGGTGGCGGTGGCGGTGGTGCCATTGTAAGTTTTGGGGACCGACCTTTGTAATAAAAATTAAGAAGAAAAAGTGTACCCAGTCATAGCATTAGTGTAAGTTTAACAAGCTCTCTTGGCATGAAGAGAAAGCATAGCTAGTTTGCTATATGCCTCTTGTTCAATCAGAAAAAAAACCATGTGCCTATGATTAAACAAGCAAATTACTAGTGTTGCAAGTAACAATTGTGTTTATCTTTATCACAGGGTAGCTAAAACGTATTTTTTTCCTAGGTGGAAAAGTCTCAGGCCACTCTGCAGCTAAAATAATTTGTCCAATAGACGTTTCAGATCTAAAAAGATTTTTTGCCCCTCCTCAAAATGACTGTTTCTGGAAAGAAACATTTAGAGATTTTCTTTCTGAAAAGAGTTGAGTGTTCACATGCCTTCAGCCCCGCCCCCCCCGCCCCCCCCATCAGCGTTACACAGACATCATCTTTTACAGCTGAGGCATTTTATTTGACTTACCTATAGTAAATTGACATCCTAGCAGTTCCACTTTCATTGCAATTTTCTGGTGCCACTTTAAGGGGTTAATTCTAATAAAGCGTGCAATAATGGGCAAGATGAAGTTATTACGAACTTCATGATAATATTCAGTGTTTCCTTGAAATACCTAGAAAAAGAGGAAAAAAGACATTCAAACTATTAGCTCCTGCAGTGTATGTTCTACCAATTCTATGCTAATCAGGGCCTATTTGACTAAATAAGCTGTACAAAGTATTGTGTAATATATCATTTGCTTCCCTGAAAAGTGCTGTTGACCAGGTTTGGAAAGAGAGAAAATTTCAGAGAAATATGAACAAAAACATCTTACTTCAAACGTAGAGAAATAGAAACTTTAATATGTTCGATTATATTTTCACCACCTAAATCTCAAAATAAAAACTGCCAAGCATCTTAAGATTATTCTATTGACATCTTACATATACAACCTATTTAAAAATTCACTCCTAATAGTGCTGATAAATTATTCTGCATTTCACAGATATCAGTCCTTTATTGCAGACTGGCAACTTTTGCTGCCACAGGTCTGAGTTTGGCCTCCTGCTGTGGGCTGCAATTCCTATCTCTACTCCCTAGCACCTAAGTTACCTGTACTTACCC